CCCACACTTTCCACGTCTCTGGATAAAAGAAAAATAAATAGTCAGTAAACTTAATTTCCTTTTTACATATGATACAAAGTGCTACATCTCTTCTCAAAATACCTCCTTTTACAAGTTTCTCCTTAACCACACAGAGGCGCAGCCAGCCCATTTGTACTGGGGTCAAAGACGAAGATAAATAAGGATTAATAATTTAAAAAATTAATATTTTTAATTTAATCAACAATTAAAAGATTCATAATAAATAATAGTTTTATATAATATATAAATAAAAAAAACAAGTATATAAAATTTGAAAACGATGAGGAAAACTATATACTTCTTAAGAAGGGGTTGGCATGACCCACATTTGAGATTAGCACGATGAATTTTATCATTTTGATTGATAGGAAATTCTTATATCATTGGTTGTAATCCAGGATTAGGTTCTACAGGAAAAGGCTTGAACCTGGAACGTTTGGATTCACATTACTCTTGTTCGTGAATTGAAACATTGAGGCTTGGGAGAATTATTTGGACGATTTGCATCTTTCTTTTAAAAAATTCGTCGATTGTTTATTAATACTTTAATCAAATTTTAAAAATAATATAGTCAATATTTAAGATTTTTATTTTATTTTTATTTGAACTTAAAATATTAAATATAAAACTATAATGTAAAAAATATAAATAGTTAAATATAAAACTATAATGCATAAAATTTAAATTTTGATTCTTTTAGAATTTCATGTCTTAGATATTTTTATTGAATCCAAAGGGAGGGACGTTTGCTTGTTTTTATTATTTTTTTATAATTGGGGAGAAGGAATTCAAGCTATGCTTTTTAAGCAGGAGGATAGTGCACCAATCAATGAGCCAAATACTCGATTGTGAACTTTTAAATATTTTAAGTAAATGGAGAGTAAAAAGAATGAAATAAAAATGAGGACATTTGCTTAAAAGGTATTAAATGTAAATGAGTTAATGTATCGATACATGAAACCTATAAAAGGGTTTTGATGAACATGTATCGATACATGAAACCAAAAAAAAAAAAAATTGATACATATTCCAAGTTTATTGATACATGCATCCTAGATTCAAAAAAATAAAGGTATTTTAGACTTTTTATTAAATAAAATATATCTTAAATACCCAAAAAGCCCTTGATCGCCTTCATTCATCCCTAGCATGACTTTTCACCTCTCTTTTCTCTTTTTTCACTCCATTTTCACTTTAAACACCAAGAATCATCTTCAAGCAATTAAAAATCATTTTTAGGGTCAACTTTTGATTTTACACGCTTTGAGGTAAAGTGTTTTCACTTCTCACACTCAAACTTTTGGGTTTGATTGTTATAATCTTTGGATTTTTAACAAATCTGTTTTTAATCTTTAAACTCAAGGTTTTATAATAGATTAAACCATTTCAAGCTCACCAAGGTAAAAATGACTCAAACGTTCACTAGTTAAAGTTGATATTCATGGTTAGTTGAAATTTGGTTATTGACTTTTGATTAATGGTTGAGAAAAGAAGTAACAGATAGGCAAATGGTGTGACAAAGTTGGCTTATACTTTGGATTTGCCACAAGTTGGCTTATATTTGATGCTTGGAAAATGTTTCGCTTTGGCATTTTGAGCATAAAATCATGCAAATTAATAAACTTTGATTTTGATTTACATTTAACATGTATCGTGTATGTTTCCATGGTGATAAGTCTCATGATGTATTTTGAGTAAATTGAATTTATTTGTTTTGAGGCTTGTTTGGGTTGAATGGAACCTTCCTATTTTACCATTATGTCGGTAACAAATCTTGAACGGGAGGTTACATGGATTCTTTGTCCATCTAGAAGCATACTTGTTTGTGTATTCTGTGTTAAGATAAGTATTCACTTTTGTCTAGTTATGGATGCCACCTAGCACTTGAGCCATGATGGATGAGTTTGTGGAGTATGATGCTCCCAATAGAATAATGATGTGAATTTATGTAAAACTTGAAATTTACATTTTTCATTATCGGAATTCAAATGACTTAATTAAATAAAAATAGTTATAATCAATATTAAATAGTCAAATATTTGAAGTTCATCTAATTTAGTGTAAATCATAAAAAGGAAGTTAAAGATTATCTAATTTTAAGTCGATATAAAAAAAAATAGTCCATTAAATTATTGATTTATATTTGATGTACTCAACTCACCAAATGCTGTTATTTCATTAATAAGATAAAAATGAAAATTTTTAAAAATTTAAAATTAAATATTAATAATTTTTATTAAAAAATACATAAAAATAAAAAAATTCTTTTTTCTCTCTCTTATAGTACAAACTAACGCAATGTTAGACTTACTAAACGGCAATAGTTTAAACGCTGCTCCTAATGTAGTTGTGGTGGAGGCAATGAATCAGTCCTTATTGGCAAACAATGTAAAGAAGTCTTTACCCACACTAGGGCAAGACGAGATGGAGAATTAGTGAACTTCTTAGAGTTCATCATTTTTATTGACTTCATTAGTTATGAATTTTAATTTCATGGTGTGAAATTGCCAGGGCGCTGGCGAGACAAAAATCGAGAAACTGTTTTTAACCACCACAGTAAATTTTGAGACAA